TCAAAGCAGGTTATTAGTTATGTTCCTAGTGCAGCACAGTAGCGTTAGTAGTATGAATTAAGTACTGGTACTGGTACTAGTAAGCCAAAAGTGGCATTTGTCATCATGGGAAATATATTAGCTATGAGAAACAGTTGTTCCACAAGTGCGTTCAATTGAGGACAAAGGGCATCCTAGTACGGATACATCGACCAAGGCTGCACACCAAGGATACAGAGAAAATGTTTTTTTTTTATGTATCCTTGACATCCATCCTAAAGCTCATGAACTAGTATGGACCTTGTCCTTACTAGTAGGACAACTCTGACATACTAGTGAGGACAAAGACCATACTAGTAAACAGACCTTAAAATGGTAATCAAGGATATGAAATAAATGCTTTTAAGGTCAGAAAGGTAGTCCAAGTAGGGGGTTCAAGTCTGCCACTGACATCAACCACGCCCCACGGAGACACATACATGATGAGTCTGCAGCAGCAGCAGCATCAACCACACAGCCTCCATCCAGGTCGGCTGTCCTTGCAGCCTGCAAGGTCTCCTTTTGATGTGTCCGTGCAATGCATGCAATTATTTGCGTGAACCTTGTCATGCTTTATAGTGTCCTCGCTATGCGTGAAGGTGGCATGACTGCACTGCACTGCACTGCACTGCACTGAACAGGAAGTGAAGAGAGCGGTCGACAAACAGGATATTAAAAATGAAACATCATGATCAAGCATGATTCTTCCACCTCGGGACAACACTAGCTCCAGGGTGCAACGGTGGTCGTTGGTTCTGTTGGTCGTTTAAATTACACTCCTTAACCCCCAACTGCACCCTCCCTGGACAACTATAAACTGGCGCCCGCTTGCAGCTAAAATCGAGTAGGGCGTCCATCCACATAGAAGTTGCCAAGCATCGCAGAGGCTTCTCACCTGAATTATAAATCCAGTGATGTCGAGGCTTCACGTCGACAAGGGGCGACTGCAGCTTCAGCGTGGCGGGTGCTCACCTCATTCGCCACCTTAAATCCACACTGTAAAATTGAACACAGGATCCACTTCTCCCGGGTTAATTCATTTTCATCCGCAGAACTCCGGGGTGGTTTTTATCACCCGTTAGCATAGCTGCTACCTATGTCCGCCTATGTGGGCGGAGGAAAGTTCACGCGATGTCAGCAGTGTCCAGTGTGTTTCCACTTCCACGCGGGTATCAGAGATGAAATTAAGTGTCTCGACGAAGATCCGTGCTGGAAGCGGGGCGGGCGTCGCCGGTAGCGTGATAGAAGCGCGACACCTGACTGCGTGTTCAAGAATGACACTGCCGGTGAGTACTGTGACGTCATCAGGTTTTACGGCGAGGTAATTATTTTTAGATTTTCTTTTTCAGTTATTATGCCTCGTTCGTGCCATTCTGTTTTTGATTGTTTGTGCGCCTTTAAGGTATTTTCATTTATTTGTATCGAACACACTGATCAAAGTTCGTATTTCTATGTTTACAGTTTGTTAATGGCACAGGCAGACACCTAAATTACCATCAGACATCATCATCATCATATATCATCATCATCATCGCCACCACCATCACGAAATGGCAATCAAATATTGCATCAAGCATCAGACTTGGTTTTTTTTAAACCATCTACTTCCATGAGAGTGATACACCCATGAACACAGCTCTGCAGCTAGATCCGGAAGAGTTCAATGAGAAGTATGGTGGTGAGATACCCCAGAAGATAGACAACATTGTGTTCACCTGCCTGGCAGGTATCAGGAGCAAGAATGCACTTGACATGGCCTCCGAACTTGGATACAAAGAGTAAGACTCCTTAGTTGTGTTGCACAATTTTGGAAAATCTGGATGTTAATGGAAACTGAGTGTGACTCCTTGGAACCTGAAATTGTTTCTTTTTTTGAGAAAAATAGGCCCCCCCCCCCCCCAAAAAAAAGTACTGAGAACGTAACATAAAAGTGCATGCAGTGAGAGTGACCCAGATTCCCGTGGATGCATTACTTCCGCACAGCTGCTCATCTCTGCCTCCCCTACCGTCTGCATGTCTACCATTCACAAGCATATGCGGCCAATGGCTGCAGGGCAAAACAGGAAGTGCAAGAGCCCACTTAGAGGAAGATGATTTGTAGACTATGGGATATAATTTCCCATCATGATTGCACAATTTATGTCATTCATACATTAACCTCGCTGTTTAATCTTGGAGTGTTTAGCATCCCTATGTTTAGATGTATGCTGAGGTCAACACACATGAAGGCCTGAGGTGAAAATCACTGAGGTGGAAAGCAGAAAAAAAGGTTTGTTTTGGTGAAGTATTGACTCAGACAGCAAACGTGTGTCAGAGCGATAATGAGTAACTCGGTTGATTGTTTTGCCTTTGGTATTTTAATGGTTTCCTGGTATTTTGTGTCTCCGACAACCCTGCCCTTTCAATGCATTTGTGGCATTTTACGATTCATGCGTGTCACACGCCTTAAATATAGAAAAACAAAATGTGTAGCAAGGTTCAAGTATCAAATCGATAGCCTTGAACAAACAAAAAAATGGAGTCTCTCTTTTGAAGAATGTCAGTAAGCCTATTTTCCAGCTCCTTGGAATGTGAGGACTGTTTCCATAAAAGCTGGCCATAATAAGCTTAACATATTCATGACGTCTGGCAGATTAAAAGTAGCCTATAATGACATTTGGTATTCAGAGGGGACTAGGAAATCAAATGAGGAATGTATTAGGATCTATACTGTCATCTAAAGAGCATAGTGGATTTAAAAACATACACACTTGGAACTTGGAAACAAAACCTTCAGGCAAAAACGATCTAAAAGAGACATAGTTCTTAAGCCCACATCCTTGTACAGCTGAGGATAATTATCCTGTGTATGACTCACGACTATGAGTCTCTACAACGTTGAGTAGAGTGTTCCACGTCCATTTCCGAAAACACGATGGAAACAAAGCTGCTTGACAACCTCATGTAACCATCAGTAAAAAAGGGTCTGAAGAGAGATGCTCCACTTTCTTTTCAGTTTTGTACACTTTTTGTGAAATTAGAACACACACCACTGAAAATTGTACAGTAACAAAAAAAACATGTGCTAACTTCCAAGTGCCAGTGTGTTTCAGAAAAGATATTGATCTCCCGAAGTGATGCAGGCATCTCCAATGCTGTATATGTCCATATTCACACAGCCCTGGTTGCTATGGATACTGACCTCCTCCAATCTATGTTTCCTGTGAATGTCATTGCATTTGTGAAGTAAATTTAGAGAAAACCAGCAGAGAACTGTCACGATGCACTTCCTTATATTTCATTTCACGTATCATTCGGACACATGTGAGGACATCATCATTTCACAGTTTGCAGTTTTTGCAAGCCTATAATTCCAGTGCTCATGGCTTGCCAATTGACAGTGGAAAAATCAATGTATAATTCATTAAAAAAAAACAAATCACAGAAATTAAAAAAAAATACAATAAAATAATGTCTTGTTTTGTCAATATTCATTCCCAAAGTCTTGGGTAAAATGGAGCCAATATCAGCAGACTTTGGATGAGAGGCCGAATACACCCAGAATTGACTGGTCGCCACTCAATAGCAGAGCACGTATAGACAATTAGTGTTCAATAACCCAACATGCATGTTGGAGTGTGGGAGGTAGCTGGACAAAACCCACACAAACATAGGGAGAACATATGAACTCCACATAGGAGGGCCTGACCAACATTTGCATAATCCCATTCACAATACTTGAGTGCAAATAAGATTATTTTTACAAATATCCACAGTTTTAACTAATTTAGAGGAGAGCATGTGTGTCCAAAGATAGATTATTGTATTGACTGTGTGCGAGACCACAACAAGTACAAGGCTTCTACTTATCCTCTCAACTGGATCGTGCTTATCCACTCATCAAGGATACATTTGCATAACTGCCTCATGGCAGCTGCAGTTAAGCATGCCCCCAATTCATTTTTATGTCTGCTCTTGACACCACCTGGGAATTCAAATCTTTGTATCAAACCAGAGTCCACAGTTTGTATAATGTCCCTGTCTTCAAAGTTCTCCGTGTTAGTCTCTGTCAGAGGTGTCAAACTCATTTTGTCGTGAGCCACATTTTAGTTACCGTTTCCCTTGGAGGGCTGTTATCACTGAAACAATATAAAAAAGTCAATCATAACGGTTTATTCAACTATTGCTTAAGTTACTGTAATGAGGGGGTTGGTCACAAGAAAATGCATACAATATGTCTCTTATTTATTACATATGAAAATGTTTAATTTTGGTAGAGATTTTAGTAAGCATCATGGAAACTGACATGTTTGATTTGCCTTGGCAGGACGCAGAAAATGATGTGGCCGGCCAGATCTGGCCCGGGGCCTTGTGTTTGACACGCGTGGTCTATGTATTTTCTACTGATGTTAAATTGGATTGGACTGGATTGGATTGGATTGGATAAACTTTATTGTCAAATGTCAATGTCAAATATATTTAGATGTTGTGTGCGTGTGTGCGTGTGCACGTGTGTGTGTGTGCGCGTGTATATGTGTGTGTGTGTGTGTGTGTGTGTGTGTGTGTGTGTGTGTGTGTGTGTGTGTGTGTGTGTGTGTGTGTGTGTGTGTGTGTGTATGAAAATTTTGAATGCACTGCACTGTATTTGAATGAAAAAGAAAACAATGCTGCCACCGTCTGGCGAGACGTGTTCTAGAAACTTCATGATAATTTGCCAAACAAAAACAGAAAATATGTTCAACAAAACATTTTCATTATTATTTACATTTTGTGTCGGGTTTTTTGCTATATTGACATACATAAATTAAAAGATGTTGCAGAACAACATTTGAGAGAACGTTTTCCCTTTAAATCTACGATCGATTGCTTTTGCCTGAGAGGCAAATTGTCAACGTCTTGTTTTGTAGCCAATTAAAAGCCCTTGACGCAAACGGAGTTACACTTCTGTCCAATGGAAAGAGAATTTTGTTTTGTTTTTTTTTTTTTTTACATGAGAGCGGAAACAGCTGTTCGACCTGCATGTGATCTGTTTGGTTTGTGACAACAGATTGAACTGAAGCGGTATCTTCGTTGATAGAGGTTCTTCAAAATCGAAAGGATAAGATGACTCCCGATATTGTGTGACCAAGAGGAATACTTCTCACTCTGTTTCCTTCATAAAGGTGAGCCGAATATACCGTTGTTGCGACATTTTGCAAAAAAGACAGTAGCATTAGCAACGAACCAGTCAACCTCTAAATGTATATTTAATGTTACACGTTTCTTCGATTTGCACCAAATAATAATTTGAAAAGAGACTGATACCGTTGGACAGCTCCCAGGGCCAGTCAACTTAAATCGAGATCGTGTGCAACTACAAGGGGGGGGGGGG